CAGCTCCTCCTACCCTCCTCACCCAAATCACAGACACCAAGAGGGCCGGGGGGTCTGGCAGGGGGGTCAGGGAAAAGAAAGGCCCCACTTGTTCATCACTCATCCACTTTTTGATGTTGCAGGAGCTGACATGCGGTGACCAGGTGTGCCGTCAGGTGTTCAAAAAGAAGTGATGGCCACAGGGGGCGTGCTCCACACTCCCAGTAAAGAGTTCTTTATTAGCCTGGAGAAGCAGCCATGGGGACCCTCCCACTCCTGCAAGCTCCTTTAGGAATCTGAATGGGTTTTAAACAGAATGAATGTGCAACAGTGACAGACATATTCTTTCTGCTTTGAAATCTGGCATTAAATGAAAAAAAAAAATTCTGTACTTTGGAATCCTGTCTATCTTTCTCCCTTTATTTCTAGAACTGTAAGGTTTATCGACAAACAGAAGAGGTGATTGTGTGCTGGTGGTTTTCTGTGGGGCTTTGTTGTTTATATTTTAGTTTTGTTTAACTTGGTTTGTTAGGTTTTTAAAAATTTTATTTATTTTTTAGCGAGAGGGGAAGGGAGGGAGAAAGAAAGGGAGAGAAACATTGGTGTGTGAGAGAAACATCTATGGGTTGCTTCCAACTGGGGACCTGTCCTGCAACCTAGGCACATGCCCTGACTGGGAATCGAACCAGCAACCTTTTGGTTCACAGGCTGGCACTCAAGTCACTGATCCACACTAGCCAGGGCCGTTTGTTAGATTTTTGTTAGTTTTTTGGGGGGTTGTTTTACCTGGAAATGTTCTCTGTCCAACACAGCATCCCCTACTAATTCTTAAATATCAACTATTCAGATTCATTCTTTTTGATAGCACATTCATTTCTCCAAGATTCTATTTTAAGTTGCATATGCCTGCCAGTTTGTACTTTGCCTGAGCAGCATGGGCAGAGCTACTTCTAAAGACCTCTGCAGCTCTGTAATACCAGCTGCTCTTGATCCAGACCAGCTCTCTGCCCTTCAGCCCTGGGCAGACTGGCATCTCTGCAGAGGAGTCACCAGGAACTGCCGGACAGCCTGAGTTCAAGTCCTACTGCTGCTTCTTAGCTGGCTCATCATAGGCACATTGTTTGGCTCTATTCTTGTTTTCCTCTTCTATAAAGTGGAGAGCACAAAAATAGCACCTGTTCTACCAGGTCACTGTGAGACCGAAGCAAGCTAATATATACAAAGTGCTTGGGATAGGACCTGGTTCCTGCTAGCTGTGGTCATTAGGTGGTTATACCCCCCACAGTCCCAGGGGTCCAGATGAGTGGATGCCAAGTAGTGAAGGCCTTCTGGTGGGTCTAGAACATTAGTTCATAACTCTGAGAAGCATCGTATTTTCCTGCTGGATACACAGTGCAATAGTGCACCTGGAAAAGCAGAGTAGTTAACAGGGATGGATTTACGGTGGATTGCTCATGCGGTCCTGGGAAGGCACAGCAGATCACAGATATCTCCTCCATCACTCTGCAATCCCACCATTAGGCAAACATTGCCCTTGAAAAGTAAGTTTATTCCAAGAGGGTTAGCATGTTGGACTAGCACACTCTGGTTTGATCTGAGTGATCATGTCATTCATTGATCCTGAGCATCCTAAATACAATTGGAAGCGAAGAGAATGGCTGTAATCTGGCCATGTGGCCCAGGGCCATCCTTGGCTCAAGGCCTTGAGGACAGGCAGCCATGACATGGTCCTTCTGGAAGGTTGCGTCCCCCAACAACCATGCCATGCTCCTGCAGCAAGAAAGCCAGAAAAGTGCCTGGCTGGGGCCTCATGCTGGCTAGAGACCTAGGGGAGGTTGGTTGGAGGGGGGAGTGGTGGTCTTCCCTTGGGCTCTGAGGAAGAGGGGAACCTCCTGAGGAAGTGGAGGCCCATCTCCTGTGGCAGACTGGGAACCCAGTGAAGCTTTTCCCCAGCTTCACTGGAGCTTCTCCAGGGCCCCAAGTCCCTCTGTTGATGCCACTTGCAGTTTCGTTCTTGCCCACAACAACCTCAAACGACCCTCTCCTTTGTCCCTTGAGAAAACCCTATGAATAAAATCATATCTGAAAGCTCACTGGGGACCAGCTATAAAGTATTCTGCGCATGTAAGGAGTTATACTTACTAGTAATTTTTGATCCTAGGGTTTGTAAATATATTCCAGGGTCTGCTAACCCTCTGTAAAAAGATTCATGGTCAAATGAACCTCAGAAATGCTGAGAACTGTATTCCCTTCTTAGAAATTCACAGTGAGAATTAGTGTTTTTATAGCTCAGAAAAGACCCACAGCAAAGCCCAGGCTTCAACCCTGGGATTCCCTTTATCCAGCAGTGCTTCCTGTCCATGGGGTGTTCTGAGAATACTGTATTCATTTCTCACACGCACACAGCACTTGTTCAATTACAGAAAGCAAACAATATAATTTAAATTTCCCACTTCCCTTGTGGGATTTTCTCAGTATGTTTCTTCCACAAATGAGGAGTAACAATGAGTTTGTTTACAGATAATGTGCAGGACTGATAGTGGCTGTATTTATTCTACTGATCATTCTTTTTCAACGAAGATTAATCTGAACTTAGAAGTGGTCAAATTTGAGGTACCTATTTCAAAGCCAGGGCAGCTATTTGGGGCCAGAGCCTGCTTTCCAGTCCAGTGCTCACTGTGCTGAGACAGGGAGTCACCTGTCTCCTCATATTTCTGTTCCCTCAGCAGATGTCAAAACCAGACCATGACAGGACTGCTCCCCCCTGACACTGGCAAGGCTGTTGGGAACAAAGTGAAAGGGGTCATCTTTTAAAACCCACTGAGGATTATACTGAGGAAGGGTGGCCCTGCTGGGGAAGACTCTCAGAACCTCAGAACCCCAGCCTCCAGCGAGAGCCATGAGAGAGGGCCGGGTTAGCTGTACACCAGGGGGCCTGGTCTTGCCAGTTAAAGAAAACCTGTCCCATGAAAGTGCAGGCTCACAAATGGGCAGCATTGCAGAGAGGCTCAAGCATGCACTTGGGCATCAGCTCCTGGTTCAAATCCTGCCCTACCACTCTCCAGCTGGATGACCATGCAGTGCTACTCCCTCTCCCTGAGCCTCTGTTTCTCCTTCTGTAAAATGAGGAGTGTGAAACCTGCTTCATAGAGGGTAATAAGGATTGAATAAGACCTTAGCCTATTGCCTTACAGTGTAGTTTTATAATAGGCAGCATGATTTCTCCAACGTTGTTCTTCTTTCTCTGGATCGCTGTTGCTGTCTGGGGCCTTTTGTGGTTCCATATACATTTTTTAAATATTTGTTCTAGTTCTGTGAAATACATCATTGGAATCTTGATAGGAATTGCATTGAATCCATAGATTGCTTTGGGTAGTATGGACATTTAAATGTTAATTCCTCCTATCCATAAACACAGTATGTGCTTCCACTTATTTGTATCTTCCTCAATTTCATAGTAATCAAAACAGCATGGTACTGGCATAAAAACAGACACATAGATCAATGGAACAGAATAGAGATCCCAGAAATAAACCCACACCTTTATAGCCATTTAAAAATCTGATAAAATAAAGGAAGCAAGCACATACAATGGGCTAATGATAGTTTATTCAACAAATGGTGTTGAGAAAATTGGATAGACACATGCAGAGAAATGAAACTAGACCACCTTATTACACCACACACAAGAATAAATTCAAAATGGATCAAAGACTTAAATGTTAGACCAGAAACCATAGCAATTGTAGAAGAAAACATAGGCAGCAAAATCTTGGACATTGCTCATAGCAATATTTTATTGGATATATCTCCCCAGGCAAGGGAAACAAAAGAAAAAATTAATAAATGGGACTACATCCAACTAAAAAGTTTTTGCACAGCAAAGGAAACCATCAACAAAATAAAAAGACAACCCACAGAATGGGAGAACATGTTTGCCAATATATCTGATAAGTGGTTAATATCCTAAACTTATAAAGAACTTACAAAACTCAACACCAAAAAATGAATGACCCAATTAAAAAATGAGCAAAGGACCTCAATAAACACGTCTCCAAAGAGGATATACAAATGGCCAATAGACATATGAAAAGATGCTCAATGTCACCACTAATCATCAGAGAAATGCAAATTAAAACCACAGTGAGAATTTTACACCTGTCAGAATGGCTATCATCAATAAATCAACAAGTGCTGGTGAAGGTGTGGAGAAAGGGGAACCCTTTTGTACACTTGGTGGGAATTCAGACTGGTGCAGCCACTGTAGAAAGCAGTAGGAAGATACTGCAGAAAATTAGAAGTGGATCTGCCTTTCAATCCAGCTATCCCACTTCTGGGAATGTACCCAAAGGAACCCAAAACACCAATTTGAAAGAACATGAGTATCCCTTATGTTCACTGCAGCATTATTTACAACCGCCAAGATATGGAAGCAGCCCCAGGGTCCATCAGTAGATGAGTGAATAAAACAACTGTGGGACACTTACACAACAGAATAGTACTCAGACATAAAAAAGAAAATTTTACCTTTTGCAACAGTATGATTATACCTGGAGAACATTATACTAAGTGAAATAAACTAGTCAGAGAAAGACAAATACCATATGATTTCACTCATGTGGAATCTAATGAACAAATGAACTAACGAGAAAAATGGGGACAAACTCATAGATGGAGAACAGATGAGAGCTAGGTGGGGGAAGGGGAGGGATGGAGGGATTGAATAAAAAGGAAAAAGGACTCATGGACATGGACAACAGTGTGGTGATTGCTGGGGGCAGGTATAAGGGGACTAAATGGTAATGGAAAAAATACAATGGAGACTAAATTTTAAAAAAGATATTAGCTCTGGCTGGTGTCGCTCAATGGATTGAGTGCCGGCCTGCAAACCAAAGGGCCACCGTTTGGATCCCCAGTCAGAGCACACGTCTGGGTTGTGGGCCAGGTCCCCAGTAGGGGGCAGTCGAGAGGCAACCATACATTGATGTTTCTCTCCCTCTATTTCTCCCTCCCTTCCCCTCTCTAGAAACAGACAAACAAACAAACAAACAAACAAACAAATAAATAAAATCTTTTAAAAAGAGTCAGCCCATTGACTGAAACAACAGTTGATACCATATTTGTGTGTGTGTATGTATATAATGTGTACGTACAGACATACACAGTAGACATGCACACACATACAGCAGGTCCTCAAATAATGTTGTTTCATTATAACATTGATGAGAAAATAAAAAATTGATTCCTGGCCAAGGCCACAGCCGGTGTGTGGTTTGCATGTTGTCTCCATGGCTGTGGGTTTTCTCCGGGGATTCTGTTTTCCTCCCACATTCCAAAGACGGACAGGTTCATCAGCGTGTCTGCGCTGTCCCCGTCTGAATGTGGGCTGGTGTCGGTGAGAGTGCCCCACCATGAACCGCGTCCTGTCCAGGGGGGCGGGCGGGCTTCCACCAGGATGGGCTCTAGCCACCCGAGACCCTGACCTGGAATTAGAGAGTTGGAAAGTAATTCTCTTGCTTTCTTTTATTCATCTTTCTTAAATGTACTTAGAGCTCACATTATTTCAATGTTTGATATTAAATGTGCTTTGGGTCTTTACTTAAAAGTTTGGTGGGGTTTTTTGTAATCAGATAGATGCCATAGGAAATGAACTCTTGTCTGTATCAATTAGCCTGGAGGAAAATTGGTTTCTTGTACATTGTTTTGCTTAAAGTAACAATTTCCAAGAACCTTTCAATACATTAAGTTAGCACTTGCTGTGCAGCCACACCCTCCACCCCAGCCCCACACACTGATGCACACATGTGTGGCGGGGCAATGATTCCCCTTCTCCGAAACGCTCTGCATTCTAAAAGCTTTAACACCGAGAACCTGCCTCCAGTCCTCAGATTTGAAGACCACCAGGAGGACTTATTAAAAATACAGATTCCTGCTCCCTCCCCCTTCCAGACTCTGGCTCTGAGGTCATGGTTAAGGTTCAGGAAACTGTATTGTCACAAGCTACCCAGCTGAGTGGCAGGCAGGGGCTTGGCAAGTACACCTACCTCGTTCAGTTAAAGTATGATTCATTTTATTTTATTTTTTAAAGGCATGATTCACTTTAAATGTGCATTTACACACACACTCTCTTTCTCTCTCAATCAGAAGCTCCATCCATCTCCATAGGTGGCCGAAGGGCACATGAACTGCTCACACATTTTTTTTAGGAAAGAATCACTTTCCTTTTAAAGGTTTTATTTATTTACTTTTAGAGAGACGGAAAGGGAGGGAGAGAAACATCAGTGTGTGAGAGATACATGGATCTGTTGTCTCTTGCTTGCCTCCATCTGGGGACCTGGCCTGTAACCCAGGCACGTGCCCTGACTGGGATTGAACTGGCGACTTTTGGTTCATAGGCCAGCACTCAATCCACTGAGCACAGCAGCCAGGGCTCACACATTTTTCTGATGAGCAGTATCGGAGCCCCTGCCTGTGCATGCTGAGCCCTGTGAGGGAAGTGATGTCGAACTCTCTAGAGCAGCTTTGTGATTGAAAGCGTTGGGGCTCTGGGATGGCAACGGGTGATGGGGACAGGGCACGGTGCAGAAGGCATGAGGTGAAAATGCAAAGAGAGTTGGGGAAAGTGGGAGTATCCTGCCTGCCTTGATGGAAGACAGGAGGCCCGGCACATGGAAGGTTGCTGTCTCCAAGTAAGGTAGGCTGTGAAAGCCTTGCTGGGCTTCAGTGGGAGGATCATGGGAGCCCGTGCAGGCTTCTGAGCACAGAGTTACATGATCCAATACACAGACCAGGAAAATTGATCCAGCCATGTTGACAGGACAGATGGAGGTGGGGAGAGGGACCCAGGTTCACCTGTTCAGAGGCTGTTGTAACATGTTCATGGAGAAACCAGGGAGAGACCCATGTCAAGGTTGGGGAGTGGCCACAGGAAGAAAGGGAAGAACATGAGAGGCACTTGAAGGAGCCCTGCACTGGGCAGCAGCTGCATGAAGCTCACAGAGGAGGTGAGGCAATAAAGATGGTCGTGAGTTTGGGGAGGGGGGAGGAATAATCCTCAACATGGCTCAGCAGTGGACAGGGAGCGGGCGACACAGGAGAGATATGGGTTAGACCTAGCACACGCGGTAACATAACAATGATCGCCAAGGCCACGTGCCCCTCCCCATCACCCAGTGCCGCCCTCCAAGGGCTAAAGGCCATCCCCTTCATGTACCTCCCGTGGCTGGGGAGGGAGGGAGGCCTGGGCTGGGACTGAAGGAGCCGCCAGCCCTCCACAGACACTTTTGAGGCCAGGAAGTGATGATGTCACTGGGGATGAGGAGAGGAGGAGTGGGAAAGGAGAAAGAGGAGACAAAAGAGGGGAGAAAGGATGGGAAAGGAGGGGACAGAAAAGGGGAAAGAGGAGGAGAAGAAAAGGGCTGAGAAGGAGGAAAGAATGGGAAAGTCTGGAGAAGGAGGGGAGGGAAGACGAGGAGGAGGAGGAGGAGGGCAGACTTGGGACGAACCCCCTCACTGTGAGGGAATGCAGAAGACAGGCAGATGTGAACTGTCCTGACTAGCCAGGCTACACAGACCACAGCCAGAGCAACAGCTGCTGAGATGCACTCCAGGGACTTTCTCTAGTTTCCTGTCTACCTCCCCCAAAGCACAGGAAGGTTTATTTAAATATGACTAGTAAAGTCAACACAGAGCAAGTATGCTTACATGCGCTCTAGAGGCTTATCCTGGGTCCTTAAAGGGTGTTCAAGGCAGGAATAATAGGCCCTTTGTCGAGAATTTTTCTGTCCTGGAGCTCTTTCTAGGTCTATGACCGAGGAGCCCATTTTACAGATGAGAAAACTGAGGCTCAGACCAGATCAAACACTCATCCCGACCCCACAGCTGGTAAGTAACAGAGGCGGACTATGAACCCAGGTGAGTCTGCCCTCAGAGTCTGAGACCCTCCACGAAGGAGGAGGACCCTTCAGGGACATGGTGGCCCTCTCCCTTCCTGGGTGTGCAGACCTTCCCTAGCAGGCTCCAGATCCCCGGCACATTCAGGAGGCCCCAAAAGCCATTCCCTCCCACTCATCTGTAATCAGGTTGTGTTTTTCTTAAATCAGCATTCACTGTAAGTCTCGTTCAAGACTAATTCCGCTGCAGACAGGACCTCATTGAAAGTGATTTGTTTGCAGTCTCCCGGCTGGGGGCTAGGTCCTGCCTCTGTGCAGAACCCGACAGAACTGATGGACTGAGCTGGCCTCCCAGAGCGGATCCTTCCCCTCGAACTGGCTCTTTAAACTTGTGATTTGTGATTGATTAGAAGGGCAGAGGTGGGGGATATTTAATTTGGCTCACTGATTACAATTGTTATGTAGATGGATCCAATTAGATACTGGGGCTTGAGAAAATGCAATAGTAATGAACCACACAAACTTCTCAAGAACTTTAAAGATTTGCTTATAGATTTTCTGGGGCTGGCCCTCACCTTAATTGCTCCTCATGCCTCTGGATTGCTAAGGTTCTGGAATGTGATGGGGGACCAAGGAGAAGGCCTGGAAAAGATGGGCAAAATTCACCTTTTCTAGAATTATAACAGAACTACACCCAGGCAATAAGAGCTCAGTGAGTCCTTCGGTGGCCAGAGGCTGGAGGCACAGAATGTGTCCATCTGCCCCTGTCAGGGAAACAGCCAAGGGAGGCATTTCACCTGGAGGGAATTCAGCACATGGAAGTGCTTACACTGAAGGTGGAAAAGCTTAGAAGTCTAATAGGGGATGGTGAAGCCGCTCCCAGCTTAGCAACAGTAGGAAGCTGCCGGTACCACCCAGGAGGCACAGAGGGATGTGGGGAGGAAAGTGGTGTTATCAGAAGCCACAGCCAGGCAGGGCTGGACCATGGTTATCAGAGGAGACACAGCCATTGCCCCCAAAATACCCCCAACACAGAAGAGGGAAGACTACACAAGCACCCCGGCGTCTCCTTTCTTTTCATTTCCCAGTCTCCCATTAGTGCTCCCACTGGTAGAAACTAGCAAAACCCTGCTGCCAGGGAGCCTGGGAAATGTAGTTCCCAGCGGTGCCAGAAGATCAGGGAAGGGAGGGGAGAGTGTCTGATAGCAAACGGACTCAGAGGGGCACGCAGAGGAGTGCCTCCCAGCCGCTGCCCTGCAGGAGCTCCCAGTCCGCTCAGACCAGCACAGGGGTGCAGGAGGGTGAGCACACCCTGGCTAGCGTTATCACCCGATCTGCGTGTTACAGAGAGAACGTGGTTGGGAGAGGCCGTCACCGAAGGGAAGGGAAGAAAGAAGAGGGGAGGGGAATCATTACGAGCTGACCCCTCGTGCGTGCCACACGGTTTGCCGGGTGCTTTCTGTACATACCGCAGCCCCTTCATCCTCTTCCTCCTCCACACGGCCTTTCGAGGTAACCCCATCCCCGCCTCACAGGAGAACACTGAGGTTTCGGAGGTGGGGAGAGGACGCGTGCCCGGTAACAGGCGAGACGTGGCAGGGCCAGGGGGAGGACACAGCCTCACAGAGCCCGGTCTCCTGTCAGCGTTCCCAGTGCAAGTGGCTGCCTTACTCCAGCCCTCCATCCATCTTTGGGCAAATGCGACCTTTTCCAAATGCAGGCAAACCTTAATCCCAATCTTAAAGCACAAAGAAGTTAATAAAAGGAAGCATTTATTGAACTAGAACAAAAAACCAGACTAGTTAATTACTTTTAACTCCTGTTAAGTATTTACGAGCTCAATGGAAATGTTTTCTTTAATTGAAGCCCATTGTTTTAAGCTTAAAAGAAACAATGAAAACCTCTCTAACACTTCTTCAGAGCCTAGACCCTTGGCTAACCACATTCCCCCAGTGTAGGCCCCTGGGCGATGGTCTCAGCTGCCTGTGACTGGGTGTGCTTCTGTGTGTGTGACACTGCTGCTTTGCTGTAGTTTCCACATTTGCAATTATTTAATTATTGTGATTTATGTTCACTGTTGTTCCCATCCTCCTGGATCACAAATTCCACAAGGGCAGAGGTGGTTTTAGTCTGTGGCCTACTCACTCTACAGCTGACACCTGCTGGTGCCTCTGCCTGGCTGCATCGCACACGCAGTCAGTTAGTGAGTATTCATGGGGTACGTGGTGATGCCAGCACCCGTGACAGATGCCAGACATGTTTGTGCATCGACCTATTCATCCAAGAAGTGTTTATTGATCATCTACTAGGAACCAGTCCCAGCGGCCAGTATTGGGGAGGTACTGGTAAGCAAAGCAGGTGTGTTCTCTCTCCTCACAAATTTTGTTTCTTAGCGTCACAGCTCAGCAAGGCAGGTATCATTCACCTCATTTTGTAAATGAGGCTCAGGAAGGGTGGGAAGGATTCTAAACACACGCTCCTAAGAAGGGCCAGGGCCAGGATTGGAATCTCTTTTCGCTGCTGACACTGCCCCTTCTCCTTGCTGGGGCCGGTGGGAGGCAGAGAACCTGCAAATTCACTAGAGAAGTCAAGAGACCCTGATGCCTTATGTGTTTCTCAAAATAAGAGAAGACAATGAGAGACCTGGTAATCCACTAGTCCCAGCCATCAAGATTCCATCTGTATGGCCTTCACACAGCACCTGGCATGTGTCAGTCTCACAACAAACACTGGCTAAAACAACAGTCCTTAATCACTTTCTTAAAAAAAAACAACATGGGACCAGTATTTAAATCAAAATAGGACAATTTTACCCCTGGAGATGGTCGGCAATGTCTGGAGGTGTTTTTGGTTGTCACATGGGGTTGGGGTGCTACTGACATCTCGTGGGTGAAGGCAGGGATGCCGCCACACACCCTGCCGTGCACAGGACAGCCCCTGAGACCAGGAACGATCTGGCCCCAAATGTCAATAGTGCAGAAGGCGAGGAGCTGGTCTAGTGGGGACTTCGCTGGTGTCATTAGTTCTTCTCTTATAACATTATTTTCAGTGGATACAGAGCGATTGACCACATGGCTGATTATCTAGAATACAGAGGAAAACTTTTCTGTGTGTGTAACATGAGTATAAGATTCATCTGCTTTTCCCAGAATAGATGCAGTTGCCTTTGAGGTTCCTTCACAGACCAGCTTTGGGGTGTTGCCAGGGTGTGGTTCACCCAATCCCTCTTGGTCTTGTAGGCTGTCTCAGGAACATGGAAGAGTTGGGAAAAACCTCTCCTTTGCAGAAAGAGTCAGGATTCCAAAGATTTAGTTAATATTGTTAAGTCATCATTCTCTCACAGTTTCTCTCCTTCCCATCACAGGCCTGGAGGTCCCTTCTCCGCTCCATTATGGCATTTGGGGAAGGTTAATGCGCTTCCAGTAATGGGAACCCTGGGAGCCAGGAAAAGCAGTGCTGCCCCTCTGCCCAGGTGCAGTTTCTGGGGCCTGCAAGGGCCTGAGCTGGGAAGCAGCTCCGTCTCTCCAAGTTGGGGTCCTAGTTTATTGACTGCCAGCTGTACCTCAATAAAGCTTTTTGTTTGTTGGTTTGGTTTTTTGTTTTGTTTGTTTGTTTTAGTCAAGACGTTCCAGTGGGAACCTGGTTAAAACTCTGACTATAAGGATAAGGAAGGAGTTCAATAAAATTCACAGAACTGGAGCCAGGAGAAGGCTTAGTGGTCATCTGACCCCGCCCCTTTTAGAAGCTGGAGAAGGAACATGCTAAGACCACTTAGTGATGGAGGAAGCTGGGACTCGAATTCAGGTTCTCCTGACTTCCACTCTAGAACTCTGCCCAATTACGATGGGGCCTAAGGAAACTCACCACCTATCTGAAAGCCACAACCCCTCCCATGGTATTTTCTAGTGGGGAGAAATGATAAAGTGCAGGACTGCACTGGGGTTACTAAGAGTCACCTTTACATTTATGACACGTCTTCCTGTTTACATGGCATTTTCACACTTGTTACCATCTGTAATCTTCATAAGAAGCAGGAGAAAAGGCAAATTATTAAAATCCCCTTGAAACTGAGGCATAAGGGGATTACTTGATCCTCCCCCAGTCACCCAGAGAGCTCAGGCGGAGCGAATGCTTAGCTGCTATTCTCCTGACAATGGACAAAGCAAGTGTTCCAGAGCTTCCTCTGCAACTCTGGAACTCACAATTATTACAGACCCAGGAGTTACAAAAGGCAGAAAAGCCACAAGGAACCTAGAAATCTCTGGTGGGGCCCACCTGAGTTTGGGAGACTCCCTTTGAAAAAGGAGAGAAGGAGCCCTGGAACAGAACAGGACACCCAGGTGGACCCTGATGCCACCTCTGGCTGCATGGGCCTGGAGGGCGGGCCCCACAGAGGCCAGAGGAACCCGTGCCTCTGGCTGACCCCAAGGAAGGGAAGCCCCCTCGATTCTGGTTCTCTCATCAGAATAAGAATATAGAGAAAAAGGCCACATCCTTCATCTCCCAGCCCCTCTCCAGGGGCAAAAGGTAAACCCCACAGTGAACAAGTGGACTGTGCCCCTTGGCCACTTGGAAAACCAGCTTGTCCGGCTTCCTGTTCCCAACCCCTTAGTTTGCATCAAACGTCAACAAAGAAACTTCTTGGGAGGAATCCCATCTTCAAATGGACAAATCAATGTGCTTGCCCTAATGGAGTGGATGTTCCAGCTGGCAACACCTGGGACGGTCTACCCAGATCTGCTCACACGGCCCCAACTGCCAGCCTGCTTCGGGGGAGCTGCCCCAGCCGTTCTGCATAGGAACGTCCTTCCCCTCTCCCAGTCCCCTGCCTGTCACACCCACACAGGGAGGACTTTGTCGTTAGCTGATGATGGAGAGTCTTGGGACAAAGGTCACACAGAGGCAGGGAGGGAAATCATGAAAAAGCAGGCCTATGGGCAGGAAGCAGGGATGGTGCCGGGAAAAGCTGGTGCCAGGGGGCAGTTGGTTGGTGGCTAAGGTCTGGGCGTTGGGAGAGAGTCAAACACAGAGGTTTGAGGGTGTACACATGGCGGGGTTGTTCCTGAGTGGATTGTCACATGTCAACCCAATCGCAGACAGGACAAACAACTCAGTCACCCCGGGCCTCCCTCTTGCTCTCTGGGCCTGTGTAGGATTCTAGACACCAACAAGCTCCGAGTGAGCAGGAAGAGCCAGGAAAGACCTGCTGCTGAGCCTCTGCCTGTGTGACCCTGAATCCGCTTCTCAACCTCTCTGAGTCCCTTTCTGGCAAGTAGATAGACAAATCCTCGCCCATCTCTCAAGGTGGCCGTGGGCCTTTGGGAAGCTCGAGGATGTTCAGTCCTGCAACCTGGCCTGCTTCCCTTGTGCAGTGTGTGGTATGTATCTGTTAGGACCTGGGAGAGGTTGCTCGCACACCCAACCCATGGTCTCCCACTACCGTTTTCCAGTTGAGTGTCATATTTGTTCTGGGGTCCACCCAGCTCCAGAGGGAAACCACGTTGAAGTCAGGGCACCCCCAGTTGCCCAGGCAGGCTGAAGGGAAAGGTTTACACTGCACAGCTGGGGAGAGGTCTCCCAGGTCTGTTCCCTGCTCACAAGGACGTGGGGACTTGCCATTTTCCCTGTCAGTTATGTCGAGTCTCTAAAGAAAAGCATCTTAGGAGAGTGCCCACAGCAAGGATGGCAGAGCTGAGAACCATGGGGAGAGCCTGCATTCTTGATGACATCGCTGAGCCACCTGTAGTGCCTCGCCCGGAGCTGCCTTTCCTCTGGACTTCTAGAACTGTGAGGGGAAAACACCCCTATTTTCCAAGCCCGTGGGACTTGGAGTTTCTCTAACTTGCAACTCAAAGCAAGCTTTCCTGCCCATGGTGGGGGCCCCTTTCTCAACCCAGCCACCGAAACCACACAGGTGCTGCCACACGTCCATTCACGTGCAGGAAGAAAGGCAGCCACACAGCGATGGGACTGAGAGAGTTCAAAATCTCCCCGGCCACTCAGGTCCAGCTTGCATGCAGGCTCCGCTCTCCTCCCAGCCTGCCCCAGGTGCTGAAATGCTTGTCCCAAATCTGTTTCTTTTCTGATCCTAAGTCTTCCCCAGACATGGACTGACCCACACAGACCCTGAGATCCTTCCCAACCTTGCCTCTGCCTGAGTCTTATGTGGCTTGAGGGGCCCTCTGTCACTGCAAGAAGCCCAGCCTGGGTCTGGTGGTCAGTGGAGGCCACTGAAGGTCTTCAAGTAGTATGAGAGATATGCTTTCCAGTCCCATTTTCACAAAGACCCTAATAGAGGCCACGTGCAGGGTGGGTCCTTCAGTGGGCCCGTCAGCCTGGGCCTCAGCCTCCAGGCCCCGGCCTCTGTGCAAGGCTGAGGGATTGATGGATCTCCTCTGGAGGCCCAGCTTTGACACTGAGCCATCCTTTTGAAGGGAATAATAAACAGATGGTAATAAGCTACCAGGTTTGAGCACTTACCAGTGGTAGGCCCCTCCTATGCATTTTCTTGTTTAGTCCTTACAATGACTCAGTGGGGCAAGTACAGAAAGGGGAATCCTTTTTGCAGACAGGTTCC